AAATCAATAGCATATTTCTCCATGAGAAATTAGTTAGCCATTAAATTTTTGCCTGGTCCAAGTCCTTCATAAATACACAGGTGACTATGACAGGATAAGGGCGTTGGCTTCATCTGGAAGTTGATGATATCAAGGCAAATGATGTGATTTAAAGGGGCTACTAACATCCAGTGGCAGCTACGGTATAGATGAAAAAAAGTCAGAAATTATTTCCAAACAGAATATATTGTTGTTTACTTTGCTCATAATTTAATGCACCAAGGTTGCTGGCTGTCAGTGAGCCTTAGTTTTTATGCCTGTTTCTTTACACTTGGGTGGAAGAAGCATTTCTACTTTGAATTACGCCAATTAAAAATATTCTCTAATACCTAATTTGTCAAAAGTTATAGTTAGGTTCACACATTATGGTGAATGGTTGGTCAATCATGTGAATTGTTCTGAATTCTGATTGGTAGTCTATAGGAGTTTAAAGACCTACACATGCAAGAATTTGTTCAAAACTCCCCAAAATAACAGTTTTACTTAGGATTGATATTATACAAATCTGCATTTCTAATTTCTCACTTTAAACTTACCATATTGTTTCTTTTCATTATGGCAATTTAAGATCTATTTATTATGTAACTACTATGTGCCAGAATATTTTACATACATTATTTCAATCTCCAAAATTCTTTGATAGAGATTTGACTTTCCACTTTGCCTAATAAATCATCTCTTTTGTTGAGAAAGTACAGTTTATTAACAAGAATATTCTTAGTTATTGTGTTTTTTCTTTTCTTTTCTTTTTTTCATTTTGAACATCAGGGCTTACCTAAGAGTCTATTCTTTAGGGAGAAGATGTGGAAAACAGTGATTTAAGCAAATATCAAGTGTTGACATTAGTCAAGTGATTGTTCACATGCTTCTTTCATCATAATACACATTCCTTTCTTACCTCACAGCGGTCTCATGAGAATATTTTGGGACCTGTATGATTCCTGCTGGCTTGGTCAGAAGAACATTCTCACAAGTGATGATGTGCTCTTGGTGTGAACTTTGGGGAAATCTCATTATTTTACTGCCCTTTGGACCTAGAAAAAAGGAAGCAGAGAGAATGCAAATAAAACTGATTCTTCACAGGCTTCCATATGACTTTTCAGATCAAGGCAATCAGCTCTCCTCCTAAGGGTCTTAGTAATTATCATGAGGTGGATGGTTTCACTGAAAAGTCTCTCCATCTTAAGCATTCAAAGGTGCGAAATAAGTGCATCTCTCAGAATTCTCTTTGACATAGCCTGGGGTCTATGGAACATTATGTGGAGTGACTATAGACAATGCCTGTTAAATGCCTAATTCCATCTGAAAGCAGTATTCTTAATATAGTTCCCCAAGAAAAAACTTTCATGATATGAATGCCTTTCTTTACTTCTCATTTAACATTTTCCCCCCAAAATGTGCAATAAACACAGGTCTAGAAAAATTGATTCTTCATGATGCTTTTTGGTGCCAAGGAGGGAAACTAGCTTTCAGTTGTCTACATTCATCAAGAATCAAAAAGCCTCACTAATTACATGTTCTAAAGTACAATCTGACAATTCTGAATTACACAGTTTACACGTACAAAGTGAGAATCTGATAGTGTAGTTTTTTCAAAACTTATTCTAATATTTTATTATATCACTATAAAGAAAACTCTGATACAGAGATAAGTTGTCCAGCACTAATCAGCCAGCTAAGATTTTGAATCCAAATCTTCTGATTCACAAGAATTATAGCTGCAAAAAAGGCTCTCTGTGGTACAAAATCACAGTCAAAAGTGTTACCTTGCAACCATCACAGCTTAGCCATGTTCAGAAATCATACTTCTTGATGATTTGCAAGTCAATCAAGTTATCACTGCATAGTTTCTCTTTTGGGCCTGCCTGACCAAATCTCAGATGACTTAAATAGATTTGCCTTTCAAACATAAACTCATTCCCCACAGAAACACAATTTCTTATAAAGTGCTGTATAAGTTTTGAAATATTCCTAAGAAAAATAACTTTATAAGTTCACATAAAATGACCAAACATACCTTGGACTCTGAAGACAATATAGCTTATGTCAAAAGCACCTTGCACAAAGGAATGGTCCAGAACTCATGAAAATCATCGGGTAAAGGCTTCTTCCACATAATTCACCTACATTTAAAAAAATCAACTCTATTAAAAAACAAGAACACTGGGC